CGGGGGAGGGGGAGGGAAGAGGGCGGCGCCGTACCCGCCGACGAGAGGGGTGGCTGGACCGCGGGGGACCTCACGGTCGCCATGGGGGTCTGGACGTGGTCCTCGGCGCGCGCGCTGGCGCGCTTGACGTCCGGGGGACAGTGGTGGCGCGCTGCACGAGCGCGGGGCTGACGCCGCTGCCCTCCCCTCCCCGCCTGCGCTCCTGCCCCGGACCAGGGCCTCTGCTGCGACCCGGGCTCATGCCGCGACCCCGATTTCGACACCGGCGGTGGCAGTTGGGACCTACAAAACGCAAAGCGTGGGGCGGGGGACGTGCAGAGCGGCGGGCCGGGCGGGGGCACCGCGTGGCATGGGGCGGCGGGCGGACCGGGGGCGGGGGCGTCACCACCCCCGGCACCACCGGACGGCCGCGGCCCGGCGCTAGTACCTACAGTACTTGCGAACTGGACAGGCGTTACAGTAACGCACACAAACGTTTCCTCTGCGGCCGGCTCGTCTCATTTGCGTTACTTGCGTACTCGCGACACGGGCAGTGGCACGCAGGGTTGTAACAGGGCCGCACCCCTCCCTGACCCGCTTGCATCTGATGGGGCAGTGGGCGGCCACTTAGCACAGCGTGACAGTGAATGAACAGCACTCAAAATGCGTTATTTTTTGTACGGGTGGGGTTCTTTTCCACAGCTCACTAATTGTGTGAAAGGCTGATGATTGAATATGTTAAGAAGGGAATATGTTGTTCTGGGGATACATTTATTAAGCCCCCCCCCCCCAAATAATCACTGTCGTTCGAAAAGTACCCCTCCTCTGCAAATGGCGTAAATTTTCCAAACGACTCATTCACAGTGCACGCACGTGCTGTCGACTCACGTGAGAGGGCGAGGGTGCTGGCGGCAACTGCGGCAACGGCCCCGCGTACGATACGGTCATCCTGGAGGGCTGCGGCTGGTACGCAGGGGCAGGAGCGTACATGGCCGGGGGTGGCATCGGGGGAGGAGGTGGCGGAGCGTAGGACGAGTACATCTAGAGGGCAGGGACGAGGTGCTTCGCGTATCAGGTCAGAGCGCACACAGCCGCAGCCGCAGGGATAAATGGAAAATTAGGGTCGCGTGATCTGAACCGGGGACTTAAGCCAGAATAAATACGAGGTGGCTGATTAACCCCGCTCACTTCTGTAGTTATGCTGTACCGCACGCACGAGTGCGGGCGGGCTTGCCTATCGCCGCTGTCCACGGCGCGTTACTGGCCGACAAATAGGCAACCCGCCCGCACTCGTGCGTGCGGTACAGAATAACTACTGGAGTGAGCGAGGTTTAATCAGCCACCTGGTATTGCTATGAAAGGGTTAATTTGAGATAAGACAAGACGCTGATGCATCTCCAGTTTAATGGTATGTATGTACCCGGAGGCTCAGTTCGTGTCACCTAGATTTTTGTAACACTGATAAGTGGCTAAATGTTTATTGGAAACAGCAAAATGTACTTCAGCATAACTAACCGGTTCTGTACGCACGGCCGAAGGCGCGACCCGTACTGGGTACGATGTCGTCGACGGGAAGGGCCG